TTAGTGTCCGCTTTACAGCGGATGGTCAGCTTGGCAACAATAGTTGCCCTCGCTCATGGTTTGGCAATGGTACTTGCCTGGCAGCGATAGCTGCATAGCAACATGGGTTGCTTGGCAACGGTAGTTGCAGGGCAGCGGGCGCTGCATTGGTAAGCAACATGGGTTGCTTGGCAACGGTAGTTGCAGGGCAGCAGGCGCTGCATTGGTAAGCAACATGGGTTGCTTGGCAACGGTAGTTGCGGGGCAGCGGATGCTGCATCGGTAAGCAACATGGGTTGCTTGGCAACTGTTGTTGCAGGGCAGCGGTTGCTGCAGTTGGGGTTGCTTAACAGGGGTTAAGCTCATTGCCGTAGTCCACCAGTACCTCCACATCCGCGACCATTTCATCCAATTATGTCTCTTGTCTTAATTTGAAGCTCCGCTATCATGCATGATGGCGGAGCCTGTCATAATGGAGCCATGTCCTTATATAATAGCATTTAGTGATTAGAACTAAATGCCTTTATGTTAGGCTTGGCACAGTTGCTAATATTATTACAGCGAAATACCTTCATTCCGTGCGGCTACGTGCCGTTTTGCATGGTGCCATCGTCTCTGGCCTAGATCCGCTCTTGGCACGTCCGGTAAAGGAGCGTTTGTTTATATTTTCTATGACCTGTTGTAGCGTGACATCAGCTCACGCAGCACTTGCTCTCCAGCTTTCAGCCGTACAACACATAGTTATATTCGCGCATTCATCTATAGTTCGTTGCACCCACCCACCCACCCTGTTATCCTTAATTCCAAGTTATTCAAGCTTTGCAGATGTCAATTGGTGGAATTTTACTGGAGCATAATGTTTGTATATAATGATGTTGTCAAGAATAAAATGTTGCGGATGGGCGGGGTGCTGGTGGACTGCATTACAAGTTACATTTGGCGTCTTGGGATACATCCCAAATTATAAATTATTTAGGATAGGGTTACCCGCTTTACAGCAGGAACCAATTTATCCATTCTGCTTTACAGCAGATGGCTTAGTGTCCGCTTTACAGCGGATGGTCAGCTTGGCAACAATAGTTGCCCTCGCTCATGGTTTGGCAATGGTACTTGCCTGGCAGCGATAGCTGCATAGCAACATGGGTTGCTTGGCAACGGTAGTTGCAGGGCAGCGGGCGCTGCATTGGTAAGCAACATGGGTTGCTTGGCAACGGTAGTTGCAGGGCAGCAGGCGCTGCATTGGTAAGCAACATGGGTTGCTTGGCAACGGTAGTTGCGGGGCAGCGGATGCTGCATCGGTAAGCAACATGGGTTGCTTGGCAACTGTTGTTGCAGGGCAGCGGTTGCTGCAGTTGGGGTTGCTTAACAGGGGTTAAGCTCATTGCCGTAGTCCACCAGTACCTCCACATCCGCGACCATTTCATCCAATTATGTCTCTTGTCTTAATTTGAAGCTCCGCTATCATGCATGATGGCGGAGCCTGTCATAATGGAGCCATGTCCTTATATAATACAGATATAATGATTTTTTTCGAAATAAAAGGGGGGGGTGCGCACCCCCGCACCCCCCTCTGTATCTGCCCATGATGTGTTGAGGGAATATTATGTAGATGTATAAGATAGCTTCACAATAAATTGCAAAGAACAACGAAGAATGAAGTGTGTTTTATTTCATGGTTTCATTGTTTCATCATGACGTAATTTCTGGAGATTCGAACATGTGCTCGCAACTTAATGATGTTGTATACTGGACATTGTTATTTTGAGGATGGGAGTGTCGAGTGATTTGTTCCCCATAGTTAGGCCATAGATGTAGTTGGGCAACGCAGATAAACGCGATGGCCAAATGATCGTATCCAAAGCAGGAGAGACATGACAATCGGTATCGGGGAAAAAGGTACAGGTAATTGATGTGAGGATTGCGAAAAATATGCAGGAAGTACCCACTCATGCATAAAATTCTATTGAGGGAGTCGTCATTATTAAGATACGGGTAAATATTTTTAAAAGCTTGTACATGTTGATAGATCCTTAAAGAGCATGTATACATAATGTTGATATCTCATATAAGAAATAAATGACTCATGGTCATTGTTCATCGTACAATGCGCCCCTCATGGTTTATTCTCCCTGCAATGTTTTATTTACAATAAACAACTCCCGTTTATTTCATAAATAACACATGTAGGGTAATATCATATACATATAACATGTGTTGTTGGGGGAATATTATGTAGATATAACACATGTTTGGGGAATATCATATAGATATAACATGTGTTGTCGGGGGAATATTTTATAGATATAACACGTTTGGGGAATATCATATACATATAACATGTGTTGTTCGGGGAATATTGTGTAGATATAACACATGTTTGTGTAATATCATATAGATATAACATGTGTTGTTCGGGGAATATTATATAGATGTAACATGTGTTGTTCGGGGAATATTATATAGATGTAACATGTGTTGTTCGGGGAATATCATATACATATAACATATGTTGTTGGGGAATATTAAATAGATATAACACAGGTTGTTTTGGGGAAACGAACGATGTTAGAATAAACATCAAAACTTTGCTCAATGCAATACACCAGAAGTGGTTATTCATAAAGTTGTTAATTTTCTTACCCGCTTTATTGATTACACTTCGAATATACATGTGTTACACGTGACATTATGTAATAATTGTCTACACTTACTGAGATAGTGGGTTACGGCGTAATGATGTAATGCTCGATCTAATTCAGTGGCCATATACATGTGCATATATGAAGATATATTCGGAAAAAGCTTTTTCTGTGTATCCCAAGATGACCGAAGCTCATTTCTCATAAGACAAACCTGCCTTGGTCATAGCCTCCTTACTTTACAGGGTAAATACTGGACAGAAATATCTTGCATATGAGAAGAGCCATCATGGCGGACTTCACATAAAGGGAAAATTGCGAAAGAGAAATATTCTAGCATCGTTATAAGACAGAAAGATGACCAAGTCACACGACCGCCTGAAAGCCATCTTCATGTTGTATTGATAAAGTTGGGAAAATAAAAATATTATTGAATTTCATGCCTTCGGTTCATGCTCCAGGTTCACTTATACGACATTTGGAAATTCCAATGTTATGGGGATAAGATGAAATATGATGGAAGTTTCAAAGGTGTGAGGACGGTCGGGGATGAACATGGAAAACCTTTCCTAGATAATTGTGCCCCAAACAGGTCCGAGTTAAGTCAACTTTGGGAAGGAAGGTGGAGCTGCATGTCACTTCCAGATGCCAAGACTGACACTTATATGAGATGTGTGGTGTTCCCGCTGGCTTTTGAAACTGTCAGTCCCAACTTTTAGCAAATATAATAAAACGTCTGAAAATTACCTGGTTTTAATTCTTTCAACATCATTTTCAATGCAATGACGTCATCTCTTAAGTAACTTCATAACATATACACGTCATTCGCTCAAAGATCAGACACAATTTTCTCTCTCTTTTTTTGAATATTTCGTAACTAAATCGCTACAAATTTATATTTATTCTTGAAGCAAAGCGAAAAGTTATTTCCTTGCACTTAAAATAGACAAGGGGAAACCCTGATAGTAACAGACAAGCTGACTTTGTTCGAAAAGTATGCTATGAATATCTCTGATGTTTTGTTCAACATCAAAGATTTATAAGGTACTTTATTTGCCGGTCCACAGGGACTGGCAGTCACATGAATTACCGGCCCAAGCCTATTTTGACTGGTTAAAAACTGGTAATTACTGGGAAATGGGAACGCTGCGTGTATAGTCTCATCTGGACCTGAGCATGTCAGAGGTGAGGTGAGGTGAGGTGAAATTGGGTTTAACGTCGCGTCCAAGATTATTGCACTTATATAGCGACGTGCATTCACGTGTGTGTGTGGGGGTGCTTGTACTAGACTGGACTGATACCGATTTATAGTGCTAGCCCACTGAGATACCATGCCACAGTTTAACATGAATACCCCACTCAGACACAGTATACTGACTCTGAGCCGACCAGTCCTTTCTTTAACCCCTTAATGCCGAGTGCCAGACAGGGTAACAACAAGTACCATCTTTTAACGTCTTTTGGTATGACGTGGCCGGGGATCGAGCCCTGGACCTTCCCCTCTCCAGGCGGACGCTCTACCACTAGACCACTGAGGCGGTCCGAGCATGTCAGACGTCTGATATGTACATTTACAGTAACATGTTGAATGAATGTTGTTTGTCTGCACTGTTAGACTGTAATCCCCATACTGGTAACACGTACCTCCCACTAGTTATTATAACTAAATATTAATTATTATGTATGATTATGTTAACAGTATTCTTATGTATTTAGAGTTGATTGATGATTATCAGAACAAGTTGTATTTTGATTAGTGAACGAAGTGGAAGAATGTGTAAAATGAATATCAGACAGCAGACAGTTAATGATTTTTGTTTTAAGCCTTTAGCAATGTTGTGTGAGTGAGTATGTTGGGTTTGCAAGTATTTAAATCATGGCATGTCTGTTTGATGTTGGAGGAAAACCCGGGTTTGATTCACCACATGGGTACAATGTGTGAAGCTCATTTCTGGTGTCCCCAAACGTATTCTTCCTGGAATATTGCTAAAAGGGGTGAAAATCCAAACTCACTCACTCGCTCATTCTGAAAAAAGAGCTCAGGGCCTTTGCCTCCTCTACATCAAGCCCAGACAGCGAATGGGACTTCTCCCAGGAAGCGTTGCCCAGTGAAACACACCCAGAACTTTTCAGAGAATGTGAAGACTCCCAAACACTGCAGCCTTCATTACCCAGATTGTCAGAAGGGCTGTAATCCTGGCAACAATTCCGGGTACTCTCCCAATGTCAGTCAACAGACTGGGAGGTACCAAATGTAAGGCAGCGATAAATTAACAATGGGGAGCCATCGGGATAAAATTAATATTTACTAACCTATTATTGTTGTTGTTATTATTGTTGTTGTTTTTTTGTTAACTCACATCATGTGTTTGTGTGTTTCAGCCTCATGACGGATCATCCCGGGGTTCCAGCCCTGTAACCATGATCTCTGTCAACGAGGGGGGCAAACAGTCATCAAAACAGCGGAGGACCCCGAGTCCGATACGGAAAGTCAGATCTGAGATGCAGAAGACGGCTTCCAGTGATCCAACTCTCAACCAGATTCCAAGGGGAAGTCCAACTCCAGGATTTCGACCTCGCAGCCTCACTTTCAGTTTCACAAACAGATACCGGTCACGTCGTAGACGAATGTCGCTCGGGTGTAAAACTGGCGACAATAAAACAAATTCCATCACCCATTCAACTCAGCTGTCCTTTCTGGACTTTGTGGACTTGTTCAAAGCATTCGGACTCCGGTGCCGCAAGGACTTGAAAGAACTATTTGAGCAGTTTGCAGTGACGAAGTCCACGGGGATGGAACTGCCATCTGTGAAGCACCCTCCATACATTCCTAGTCCCAGAGATATGTGTAAGTTTAAATTTATCTTTCTTTTCAAATTTGTTCAAAACATTAATTTTTTTCCATAGGTGTCCGAGTCGTCTAGGGTGCCAAAATTTAAGATGCTGGAATTCATTGTGCAGAGTTGCGTCCCTTAGGTGTGCCAGACTCCTGTGAAAGTGGGTTTGAATTCTAGATTAAACCTAATTATGATTATTGATTTGTTAGCACCATACCCATGCTTGATGATTACATCGAAGTGGTACTTATTTAAGACCTTGGCCCCGTTATTAACCCTATGACTGCTGTAAGTCTATTTTAATGTATAGGGGTTATTATCGTCACAGCACTATGATAGCATTGTGGAATGGGGCAATACCTCCCAAGCTTGTTTGCCAGTTTATGAGCTCATACGCTGCCACACCGCATTACGACTGACACACCGCAATATATACTGACCTGACATAATATAACTGACCTGATGTAATATAACTGACCTGTTGTAATATAACTGACCTGTTGTAATATAATGGACCTGACATAATATAACTGACCTGACATAATATAACTGACCTGATGTAATATAACTGACCTGTTGTAATATAACTGACCTGTTGTAATATAATGGACCTGACATAATATAACTGACCTGACATAATATAACTGACCTGATGTAATATAACTGACCTGTTGTAATATAACTGACCTGTTGTAATATAACTGACCTGTTGTAATATAATGGACCTGACATAATATAACTGACCTGACATAATATAACTGACCTGACATAATATAACTGACCTGATGTAATATAACTGACCTGTTGTAATATAACTGACCTGTTGTAATATAATGGACCTGACATAATATAACTGACCTGACATAATATAACTGACCTGATGTAATATAACTGACCTGTTGTAATATAACTGACCTGTTGTAATATAATGGACCTGACATAATATAACTGACCTGACATAATATAACTGACCTGATGTAATATAACTGACCTGTTGTAATATAACTGACCTGTTGTAATATAATGGACCTGACATAATATAACTGACCTGACATAATATAACTGACCTGATGTAATATAACTGACCTGTTGTAATATAACCGACCTGATGTAATATAACTCACCTGATGTAATATAATTGACCGTACATAATTTGACGGAAATCAAGTAACATAACTGACTTTACATAATGTAAAGGACCTGACATAATATAACAGATCTGACGCAATATAACTGACCTGGTGTAATATGACGGACCTGACGTAACATAACGGGCCTGATGTAATATAACGGACCTGACATGATACAACGGACCTGACATAATATAACAGGCCCTATGTGATATAGCCCCAGCTGTGTCTTTTCCTCTATACCACAATTCCCCCAAAAGCTATAGTTGGCGCCTGAGTGACAGACCAACAAATTTGGGTGTGTTTCTTGCATGTTCTATATCTACGCTGCCTGTATCGATAGCTTTTCAATATGGTGAAATGAAAGACATTCACACTTAACCAGTACAAATACAGATAATCTTTTGGGTTCATTACTTTAGTTCCTGGCAATTACTTTAGTTAACACTGCTTCCGTTTGTTCAAGTACGAACACCGTTATTCTACCTCCTGTACATGTCTCCACAAACACTTGCTAATAGCTGTTCAAACAAATGCCATTGACTGGGTTGTCACCAGTTAGATCACAGCGTCGAATTCTCATCAGTATTTGAGCACATATTACATGATATCACTGACGGAGGTGATTCACCCCTAGTGTGACCTCTAAGCTTGTGGGGCATTGGGGTAGCCTAGTGGTTAAAGCATTTGCTCGTCAGGCCGAAGACCTGTGTTCGATTCCCCACTTGGGTACAATGTGTGAAGCCCATTTCTGGTGTCCCTCACCGTGATATTGCTGGAATATTGCTGAAAGCAACGTGAAACCATACTCACTCCAAGCGTGTTCCTCATTCATTTGTAGCAGAACTCATCTGGAAGTTGAAAATTTTCTAACTTTTTTTTCGACCATCTACATTGAATTTTAGGCCAAACCTTTTGAAAACCAACTGTCAACAATATAAAAGGCCTTGTGAAGTTGCAGTTATTTATCCTTGAGTAGAGCATGGTGTAGTGTACATTCTGCAGATATTGAGCACTTTTCTATCATTTAAAGGCTTCCATTTTTGACAGTACTATCCACAAATTGAACCAGATCCTGTTGAGACAAAAACTTGTAAATTTACATTTTTTACCTTTTTTTACTTTGGGAAGGGTGTATTTTATAGTTCTGTTTAATTCATGATGTAGTACTTAATACAATAAGTTGTGCTTAAACAAATTATAAACTGACACACTTTGAAAATATTCAAATTCTGTGATATTTGGCAAAGTGGCCACAAACATCATATTAAGTTGTTTTGTGTATTTAACATGTGATAATGAAACACAACAATGTTGTCATATGGGTTCAAATATCTTTCCATGTGTTTTGAGATGGACTTCGAGATGCAGCACAAAATGCTTCTTGTCATTTCATTGAGTACCAGTATACCTAACACATTAATGTACTTTCTAATTCAATTTCCCGTCGCTAAGCACAATGCCAAGGATGTCAAATAATGACGCCACTCCTCTTGGAGAAGAAGAATAGATCACAGGATGTGGGCGGAAATGGCCAATAATAAGACTGAGAAGGATGCTTATCACTCTCCATCCTCAAACTAATCCAACCTCGCCTTGTATCACATGACCACATGAGCCGGAGCAACGTGACTCCCGACTTGCCGTGACCATCGTGTCAAGGCCGTAAGATGTGTTCAAGACAACTAGTGATGTATTGCTATAGAGAAGGGTGTTTTCAATCAGTTATTCAGTAGCCAACGAATACATCCATTTTTAATTACACACATAACTATCAAATACAAAATATCTTGCTTGTCAATAAGTTGGTATATTTATGCCGGAGGTTTGTTCCACTTACTTTTATAGGAATGCTGTCTGATGATTTGTCGGAAAATCAATTTTTTCCCAACAGTGTTCCGAAATTTATTGCCATGGCGAAGGGTCAATGGCCGAAAGTTGTGGGTTATGATGCAGTTATGGGATTAGATTGGGCATGGTTTATTCAGTAGTGAGGACATTAATTGTGATGTAGGGAGTTTTTGTATGTACACTGGATGATATGTTAAGCAATAAGCAGGCTGAACTGATCATCTGTATTATTGTAGGTGAAGGATGTTTTTTGAAAAGTGACGATGTTTCCGTACATATGTACCAATCAACTTAGTTCAGCTGGTTTGCATGGAGAATAATTTCCAGAAATATTGATCTTGAGACAGCATTAATATTGGGTTATGTCATCATCTTAGTGAACCAGCACCAGTGAGTGAGTGAGTGAGTATGGTTTTACGCCGCTTTTAGCAATATTCCAGCAATATCAGGGCGGGGGACACCAGAAATGGGCTTCACACATTGTACCCATGTCGGGAATCGAACCTGGGTCTTCGGCGTGACGAGCGAACGCTTTAACCACTAGGCTACCCGACCGCCCCAGCACCACCAGTACAATACATGGTGTGTTTGGTGTGTGATACTGTACTGATACAATTCAAAATTTGTCCAACACTGTATTCCACAGATGTACAAGATCTCACCCTGGATAACCCACTCCGCCACACAATTCTTGATGTCCTTAGTTTGTTCAACAATTTAAGAGCAGTACCCATATCTCATTTTATAACCTACGAGGGCAAACATATTGAGGTTCATAAAAATCATATGAGTCCTATGGTCATATCGCGTGATGAGACAACAGTGTATTGTTTCCGTCATCCAGACGGCATTGTTGACATCATTTGATGTCATGATTAAAAAGGCAGTATTACATTTAATTCCACAGGTGTAAAAATATGTTGCTGCCACAATGTGTGATATCTCTTCCTGGGCAACCAACAGTTCTACCCAAAACATGATTAAAAAAGCAGAACCGGTATAAAAGTTTATTCCACAGATGTTATAGCATGATGTCCTTGCTGTGTTCTACACAATATAAACAGTATTACCTTTTATTCCACAGGTGTAATAACCCGCAATAATGCACTAGATCTCACCCAGGACAACCAACAGCGCCGCACAATATGCGATGTTCTTGCCGTGTCTAGCATCATCTCCAACTTTGCTGGGGTGGAGACGACGCCAACCAAGTGCATGGGTCTGCGAGAGTTCCGGCAGTTCCTCGAGGATTACCAGGAGGAGGCATATGATGATGATGAGATCATCGAGCTGATCCAGCGCCATGAGCCGGACTCCATGTTGCGAGATCGCTGTTGTCTGTCATTTGAGGGATTCGCCAAGTTTCTCATGGACAAGGATAACTTTGCTTATCTTCCTGAGAAGACCAAGCACAATGATGAGGTAGGCACGCAAGATGGGTTGTGCACAGTAAACAGTTTATTGTTTATGTTATTTGTTTTACCATTTCTATTGTCATCGTAAGTACATGTTGACCATAGGCTTCATTTACCCCTTCTATGAACTTTGAACTGAATACTGCAGTGATCTGATGGTTTGGGCCAATACAGGTGAGGTGAGGTCAAATGGGATATAACATCGCAGCCAAGATTATTGCACTTATATAGAGACGTGCATGCCTGCGTGAGTGCGTGTGTGCGTGTGTGCGTGTGTGCGTGCGTTTGGCTGCCTGCGCTAGTCTGGACTGATGTCGGTTTACAGTGCTAGCCAACTGAGATACCATCTTTTGACGTCGTTTGGTATGATGCTGCCTTGGATTGAGCCCCGGACCTTCCATTCTCTGGGTGGACGCTCTACCACTAGACCATGGAGGCGGCCCATACAATGTCAAAGATGAGACTAATGCTTAGTCACTGAAAAGATATAATTTGGATAGAGATATAATGTATGCCTAGCTCCATTGGTCTGGGTTTGAATCCAGGATTCACTGTGATCATGACATTTGGTTTTTCAGCACCTCCCTCATGCTTGGTTTCACCAAATGGTAATTGTCTCTAATCTGTATCAGTGTGTACTTGCCTCGGACATTTAGTTATCACACTGTTTTATACAAATACTGTTCCGACAATTCACTCACTCACTCTGTGGCAGGACATGGACCATCCCCTGCCTCACTACTACATCGCTTCATCCCACAACACGTATCTCACCGGCCACCAGCTCAAGGGGGAGTCCTCCGTCGACCTCTACAGCCAGGTCAGTAAACCGTATATGACCATAGATAAGCCCATCTCATAGTTAAACTGAGGTATTAACTTAGTCCTTGAAATCTGTATCAAAATGGTATGTGCGGTTCATAAGCCAGAAACAAAGTTTATCGGATTGGCTGATCGCATAAATGACACGATCAATATGTGCTGAGCTTGCTTTCTGGGTGCAGGTGCTGCTGATGGGGTGCCGGTGTGTGGAGCTGGACTGCTGGGATGGGGACGATGGGGCGCCCATCATATACCACGGACATACACTCACTACAAAGATCTCATTTAAGGTAAAACTCATATGTCAGGTGGTCTAGGAGAGGCAGTGATAGGGAGACTGTCAGAATGAGTGAGAGTGTTCAGGTAAAGTCTCTTTGAGTGAATGAGTGTGTGAGAGGGAGTGATTGTATGGGAGGGTCATTTATAGTCTCTTTGAGTGGGTGTGAGGGGGAGTGAGTGGGCGTGAGAGTGAGTGAGTGAGTGTGAGAGTTAGTGAGTGAGTGTGAGAGGGAATGAGTGAGTGAGAGGGAGTGATTGTATGGGAGGGTCATTTATAGTCCCTTTGAGTGGGTGTGAGGGTGAGTGTGAGAGTGAGTGAGTGAGTGAGTGTGAGAGTGAGTGAGTGAGTGATTCAGTGAGTGAGTGAGGGTGAGTGAGTTGGTGAATGAGTGAGTGAGTGAATGAGTGAGTGGGAGTGAGTGTGAGAGTGAGTGAGAGTGAGTGAGTGATTCAGTGAGTAAGTGGGTGTGAGTGTGTGTGAGAGTGAGTGTGAGAGTGAGTGAGTGAGTGTGAGAGTGAATGTGAGAGTGAGTGAGTGATTCAGTGAGTGAACGGGTGTGAGAGTGAGTGTGTGTGAGAGTGAGTGTGTGTGAGAGTGAGTGAGTGAGTGTGAGAGTGAATGTGAGAGTGAGTGAGTGATTCAGTGAGTGAACGGGTGTGAGAGTGAGTGGGTGTGAGAGTGAGTGTGTGTGAGAGTGAGTGAGTGAGTGTGAGAGTGAGTGAGTGAGTGTGAGAGTGAATGTGAGAGTGAGTGAGTGATTCAGTGAGTGAACGGGTGTGAGAGTGAGTGGGTGTGAGAGTAAGTATGTGTGAGAGTGAGTGAGTGAGTGGGTGTGAGAGTGAGTGAATGAGTGAGTGAGTGTGAGAGTGAGTGAGTGAGTGTGAGAGTGAGTGAGTGAGTGAGTGGGTGAGTGAGTGGGTGTGAGAGTTAGTGGGAGAGTGAGTCGGTGAGTGAGAGAGTGAGTGTGAGTGAGTGTGAGAGTGAGTGGGTGTGAGAGTGAGTGAGTGAGGATGTGTGTGTGTGTGTGTGAGTGAGTGAGGATCATGTACAGTCTACGAGTCACTGCGTGAGTGTGAGAGGATCGACTGAGGGTGAAAGTGAGGGTGAGTGACAGCGATTGAGCTGTGGTGTGAGAATGAGTGAGTGAGTGAGTGAGTGTGAGAGTGAGTGAATGTGACAATGAGAAAGTGTGAGAGTGAATGATACGTGAGAGCAAATAAGTGACTAAGTGTACATGCATGTGAGAATGCATGTGAGTAACTGTATTTGTTTGAGCTACATATTCAATCATTCAATCATGTAGGGTGTTGCCGAAGCCATCAACCGAAGTGCTTTTGTGACGTCCCCGTACCCTGTCATCCTGTCCATAGAAAACCACTGCTCTATACCACAGCAGCAGAAGATGGCGCAGATATTCACAGTAAGACACTACCTCCTTGTGCTATATATAGCTGCTGAGACACTCACCCTTCCTTCTCCCCTGGGGATCACTGTGAACACACCTAATCCTTATCTTCTCACTGAGTGCTTTGGTCATATGTTGGGGTCTTGGAAAGATACATAGCCAGATTGTGGACTCTCAGGAAAATGCCTAGCCAGACCCAAGGGCGATTCCAGAACTTTTAAAAGGGAGGGGTCAAAAATAACAAAATCCTGTCTCAGTTAATTATATTGCCTACAATCTACTACATTTGTTTTTCAAAAGGGGGATCCGGTCCCCCCCTGGACCGGCCCCTCTGGACTCCCCTCTGGACCCCTCTGAACTACCCTCTGGACCTCCCTCTGGACCCCCTCTGGATCCCACTCTGGACCCCCCTATGAACCCCCCTATGAACCCCCCTCTGGACCCCTCTGGACCCCCCTCTGGACCCCCCTATGAACCCCCCTCTGGACCCCCCTCTGGACCTCCCTCTGGACCCCCCTCTGAACCCCCCTATGAACCCCCCTCTGGACTTCCCTCTGGACCCCCCTCTGAACTTCCCTCTGGACCCCCCTCTGAACCCCCCTCTGGATCTCCCTCTGGACCCCCCTCAGGACCTCCCTCTGGATCCCCCTCTGGACCCCCCTCTGGACCTCCCTCTGGACCCCCCTCTGGAACCCCGACTTGAACCCCCCTCTGGACCCCCCTATGAACCCCCCTGTGGACCCCTCTGAACCCCCCTCTGAACCCCCCTCTGGATCTCCCTCTTGACCCCCCATCTGGACCCCCCCTCTGGACCTCCCTCTGGATCCCCCTCTGGACCTCCCTCTGGACCCCCCTATGAACCCCCCTCTGGACCCCTCTCAACCCCCCCCTGAACCTCCCTCTGGACCCCACTCTAGACCCCCCTCTGGACCTGCCTATGGAGACCTATGTTTTCACTTTGTTCTTTCACCTTTTCATTTTTTGGAGAGTTGAAAGAGCGTGAGATGCCCACATGTTACAATTGTTTGATAGTGTATAGTTTTACAATCCACTGCTGTTCCAGAGCGTGTTTGGTGACAAGCTGGTGACCAAGTTCCTGTTTGACTCAGACTATTGTGAGGACCCACAGCTACCATCACCGAACCAGCTCAAGTACAAGATCCTCATCAAGAACAAGAAGATCAGGGACCCCGAGAGTACCGCAGCCATCAAGAAGGTAGCGCCATCTACACACTTATCGTGGTGCTTTCACCATGTACAACAAGTTGCATGTTTCTTGTAATTTCAGAATTAGATATAGGTTACCAAGCAGTTTTACTCACACCAGTGTAAATTTTTATCCTCCGCCACAAAGTGGAAGGGGGATATAGGAATGGGTGCTGTCCGTCTGTCCGTCCTTCTATCCGTCCTTCCTTCCATCTGTCACGTTTCATTTCCGGAGCAGAACTCAAAAACCATGTAGATATCTTAAACTTGGCACATAGATAAGTCTAGTTTGGAATTTTAAAAAAAGAATTCGAGATTCCATGGCAACAACTTTGACTTGGACTGAAAATGGCGGTAGTGCTCGTTTCCTGGAGGAGGTCTTGAAACCCATACAATATTTATTCACCAAACTTGGCACTTAGATAGGTTTAGTGGTAAACTGGTGCCTTTTGATAGTTTGTGATTTTTGAAAAAAATATTTTTCAAGTTTCCATAGCAACGACTTTGACTGAAAATTGTGGTAGTGCTCCAATATGTGATATGATACAATATGTAAATGAGTCATCTACCTTAACATCTTGGTTATCAGAATGAGGTAAATGCAGCATAACTTGTATTAACTGAATTACGTACAAGCTGCAAACTTTTTGTTTCTGTTGAGTCATTGTATCAGGTGTAACAGTTGCCTCCCTTATTGTCCCAATAGCTAAAGTTATAAGGCACTGGTATGAGTCATGACTAAAACTATTGTGGTAGGCGCAACAGAGTTATCCCCCTTTATTCTCCCAATTGTTTCAAATCTGTTAGATGAGATATTTTCCAGCTAATCCCTGACTGTAATGAATGTTCTAGCTTCCTGTGCAGTCTCGAACATCCAGCATGGCGTCGTCGGAAAGTACTTCCATCAACGACTTCGATGACGACGATGATGAAGATGAGGATGAAGATGATGTCACTGATGGTGGGTGGAGATAGATGGATACAACTAAAGTTACTTTCACTAAAATACGTAGTGATTGAGTTAACCGCCGCTGTAACAGTATTCCAGTTTTATCACGGCGTGTCAGCTTGATGGCTGAGGAAAGCCCGAAGTGATGCAGGTCTTGGACATTTACCACTTTGGTGAAACTCACAAGCATGGGTAAGGTGCTGACAAACCATGAACATATTCGGGGCGAAATAGGATTCGAACTCATAATCATAGGTTTCTGGCATGCCCAAAGATCGCAACCACCCTTTGACCACTTGGCCACCCGTGACCCCCTGAAATACATAGAAGTATATACATATTAACATCTGGTGCATGTATATATTCAGTCCATAATCAGTTATTATGAACCAATTTTAAATCCTCCAGTACTGTTATTTAATACTACATAAATGACAAATTCGAGGATGTTTACTTGTGTCTCACAAATGCTCTCTCAGAGTTGGCAAGGTGTTTGTAACACTAGGAGCATATTATGTGTCGGCTGTTGATGAAACTGTCTCCCTTGTCCCCAGCAGTGAAGGAACTGAGGCAGTCCGTGGACAGTCAGGACAGCCCTACACCGGATCAGGAGGACAAAAGCAAGCTGCAGTCGCGACAGAGGATGGACTCTTTCGGCGAACTCGGTCCCAGGTAAGACAGTGCTGAACTAACTCACTCACTCTCACTGTCCCACTCCCAGCGGTTACTCCCAGACAACACAGGTAATCTGTATTTCAATAGGACACGAATGTTGTATGGTCTCATTATTTCCATACTAATGTTGTGTCCTATTGAAATATTAATAATGAAAACCAGGGGTCCGGAAACGGTCATATGCGCCGGACATGTCTGATTGGGAATCTCAAATGTCCGGTTTAAAATATTGCTTACCGAACATTTAAATTTTTCTGTCCGGACATTTTAAAAAGTATTGTCTGGACATGATCAACAGTTAGGACTGAGCAGTTTCTGTCTGCAGTTGTAACACAATGAAGATTATCTACACTGACAAGCTTTGTTTGTTTTGATTGCTGTAAATACATCGTACCTACATGGCAATAAACTGAGTTGACACTGATTAATCGAGGATTAATTGCTGAGAAACATCTTGTTAATTTGCTATTTGAAGGGGGCGTGGCCTAAATGCAAATGTCCGATTGGGATTTTAAATTTTCCGGACCCCTGATAAAAACTGAAAATAGGCATAATTTTTATTGGCAAAAAAAATACAGATTACCTGTGTTAAGGACTCTGACAGTTTAGTTTAGAGGAAGAGGGGTCAGTTGGATTGGTCTTTTGCTGGTATCATATTTTGCCAACTCCACCCATTTTATGTGACATTTTTTCAAACTCCACCACAACCCAAATACATGTAACATATTTTCATGACACACCCACCCACTACCAACCATCAACAACCACCCACCTACATACACACGGTGACACACACACAGTGACACACACACACACAGTGACACACACACAAACACAGTGACACACACAAACAGTCACACACACACACACACACACACACACACACACACACACACACACACACACACACACACACAGAGTCACACACACACACACACACACACACACACACACACACACACACACACACACACACACACACACACACCACAAATATAATAAATTAGCAGTATTACCAGTATTGACATATTTGAAAAAAAGAACTGTGTCAACTGGTTGTGATACATTTTGGTGACCCGCCCCCTCTTCTGTTGCCCCTCCTTATTCTCACCCCACCCCTGCCCCAACCCCCTCTAATAAATTACCAGACACTGTTAGCCATAAAATGGACAAATGTTTTGTGCATTATGTATTAAAGAGCTGACTTCAATGTTTTCTCGAAAAAGATATTTGAAAAGTTCTACCTCCCTTCATGCTTTTTGAGGAAGCTATGCTGGAGAAACATTAATTGTGTTTTGTGCAGCTTCAGGTTCATTTATCATGCTATCATGCTGTCAACCATTGGTTTGTTTGTTTCTCAGGCAACACTCTGAATCCTTTGGGGAGAAGCAACGCCCCAAGAGCCACCCCGAATTAGACTGGCAATTCGGTGAGGAAATCCACGAATTGAAGACCCCACCAAAAATCAAGGCCAAGAAAGCAAGTCAGATAGCCAAAGAATTGTCTGATCTAGTTGTGTACACTCAGGCTGTCAAGTTTAGAGGTATGTTCACGTTGCCAGGTGTAATCACTATAATTAGTTACTTCATATGTAATGAATACATGACTCTTTTTATGGATAGCGACTTAATTTTATTTTTTGTGTGACATTTCTGAGCTTCTTCAAGCTCCTTGATCAGGTCAATTTCATCAGGTAAATAGGTGAATTTTTACCTGTTGAAGGAGCAAGAAATAGCTCTGAAACGTCGTACAAAGAATAAAGAAGTTGCTATCCATAAAAAAGTGTCATGTATTCATGTTTTCCTAACTTCTAAATGCCTATCAAAGACGTCATATGTAATGTTTATGATTAATCATGTAGTAATATATATATATATATATTTACTAAAATTGTATTTATAATAAAACACTTCCTATATAATCTTTATAGTTTATCACTTTTTTACGTTTACATTACTTCATAAATAATCTTACATAACAATTAAAAAGTTAATTAACTTCAAGATAGATTTCCTTTTAATTGTCATTTAAAAATCTAAATGTGTTATATATTGCGCTTAATGAATGTTTGTATATTGATAAGGTCTGTCCTTGAGTCCGAACACGTCACTAAAGCAGAAGAAGGGGCCTACACGGAAGAGCATCCTGACAAGCGGCCTTGGCAACAGCCCCAGCACTCCCACCCTCATCAACTCAGGTAACATCGTCATCACTATCTGTCACCCTCCGGAGCAGTGGTGACTTAGCATTACAACACTGCCACAGGTTAATTTGCATATCACATGACTGGACATTTCTTTTGTTTGTAGGGGGGCACGGGTCGCCCAGTTGTCTAAGGCGCCGCGATTCGCTTTGCAGAGTTGCGTCCCTTGGGCACGCCAGAAACCTATGATTGTGGGTTCGAATCCTGGTTCGCCCCAATTATGTTTCTAGGTTTGTCAGCACCATACCCGTGCTCGTGGGTTTCACCGAAGTGGTAAACGTCTGAGACCTGCATCACTTTGGGCTTTCCTCCCACATTAAGCTGACACGCCGTGATATAACTGGAATAATGTTAAAAGCGGCGTTAAACCCAACTCACTCACTCACTCTTTTGTTTGTACACAAACATACTTATTCTGAAATCAGAGCAGACTGTCCGAATAGAAGCCCTTCCAGTTTTGCATATTGTTGTGCGTAGTTATATAGATATGCTACAACATAGCAGGACGATATACCTTTATTCATCAAAGTGACCATATCGCTAGCTTGCCCTAGGGTTTTCATGACAGCATGTGGAGCCGTACAACGAATGTAAACAAAAGATAAAATACGCAAATATTTTTTGACATAATGTGTAGACTTTTAATAAATGAGATGAAAAACATATCTAATTTATTGAATGGAATATGTTGGATGTGACAAATCATTACATCTCTCTGGCCTATGGCAGATCTACCCGCAAGGAACTCTGTAACTCTGACATTATGGCGCATAGCAGAATGATAAGACTGAATATTTAGTGACTAACCTATGAGATATGAAGAGTTATGGATTAATTTTGAATGTTTCTAGCCTTGGCAAGAACCTTTCAACAATAATTTGCTACGGATACTATAAATCTTGAAATTAATGCGTCTCAAAGGCTGTAGATCTGAGGATAAGTGTGATGAAGCCTATCGATGCGTGTCAGGTCGTGTCGGCCCTTGCTGCCGTGTTGCGTGGGTGGTTTCTGCCTGGAATGCTGTGCCCAGTTTGACATGTGTGGGTAGAGTGGGTAGAACTCTTGACCCCAGCAGTGATAACTCATTGGATGCCTATTGTGTAATTTCTGTTCTTTAAGTGACATTGTTATATACTTGTTACAACTGCTGCTCAATAAACCGTGTTTCTGTTTATATTCAAGTTGGTATTTCCGCTATCCAAAGTGTGCAGTGTGGCTGTCTTATTGTTGGATGATCATTTGGAGACATAAATGCAAACTTTAATTAATGCAAGCAAAGACCACTCGCACTTTTTGCGTTTAATTCACGCTCGCATTAATTTCAAGGTTTACAGAAGAAAATCTGTAATTCCAAGTTGCCTGTAGGTAATTCTCCATATTGCCCATGAACAATGTAGCTGGCTTTATGACCTAAAATGAGTGGGGGCACGGGTGGGCCAGTTGTCTAAGGCGCTGCGATTCGCTGTGCAGTGTTGCGTCCCTTGGGCACGCCAGAAACCTATGATTGTGGGTTCGAATCCTGGTTCGACCCGATTATGTTTCCAGGTTTGTCAGCACCATACCCGTGCTCGTGGGTTTCACCGAAGTGGTAAACGTCTGAGACCTGCATCACTTCGGGCTTTCCTCCCAAATTAGGCTGACACACCGCGATATAGCTGGAATACTGTTAAAAGCGGCGTTAAAACCCTACTCACTCACTCACTAGATCTCAAATGAAGACAACGGTTCAGTCAACTGTTGGAACGAGGTCAAATAGCGTCCTTTGTGACATGTACTTTTGATGATGTCATCACCAATTATTTGTTACATTGCGTACATATGAAGTCACTCTCCCATGAGACACTTCACAAACAGTGAAATTAATAAAGCAATTGCAATTAATTAGCCAATCAGCATCAAGCAAAATTACCGTATCATCCATTATAAGAAATATTCACAACATGATGCTGTTGCTGCTTCAGGGGAGAAGGTGGACCTCATCATCCCAGCTTCAATACCACGCATCAAGAAATGTGACGGCACCCCCGCCTGCTACCTGGTATCGTCTCTCAACGAGAACAAGGCCAAACAACTGTGTCGGAGAAACCCCCTCGGTGTCATCAAATATCCTTTCTCATCTATTTGCATAAATATTGGGCATGTTTGGTGATCAATAAGATTTTGATTTAACTGTATTTGTGTGTAAATATATGGGATTAATACTGTTGATATGTATATTCAGTAAATGAAACTATTGAAATATTTTTTTTTTAAAGTGAAACAGGGCGGTCGGGTAGCCTAGTGGTTAAAGCGTTCGCTTGTCACACCAAAGACCCGGGTTTGATTCCCGACATGGGTACAATGTGTGAAACCCATTTCTGGTGTCCCCCGCCGTGATATTGCTGGAATATTGCTAAAAGTGGCGTAAAATCAAACTCACGAGCGAGCGTGCGAGCGAGCGAGGCAAGGGAGTTAAAAGTATAAGTCCAGTTTCCACCCCTGACGAACTAGGTTGAAATTTCTGGGCTCAATCATAGCGCAACCAGTGGCTATTACGAGTTGTGGCCCTCCTATGTCCCTCCTATTGACCAATCAGATTCCACCTCTCACATCATTTGCATTTGCTTCAAACAGTCTGATCGATAATCAAGATCTGATATTGTAATAAAACATGTCTTACTTCACAAAGTGCATCAAATCATGTGTGCACTTGACTGAAAACATGAAAAGATTTGGAAAATATCTGTTGATGCCCAGCTGACAGACAGTACACATGCTGAATCTGCTCGGCAGTTTTACAAACCGGAAGTCGATTTCTTTACACGATTTTGATTGGACTATGCATAGACTTGTTAGTCATCCAAAACCTAACTCTGTGTTTGCAGCCTAGTTCGGCAAGGGTAGAAATTAGACTTTTATAGTCAGTTAACTCCCTTGCCTCGGGAAGATGGTAAATACTTATAAACCTATTCATTGGGATCACTATTAAGTAAGAGACTTCTTTTTATAGGCATTAAAACCTATTGTGAGGTTTTACTTTCCAGTCGGGTTAAATCTCATAAACAGGGACGTTGTAATGTCCCTGGGATTTTATATAATATCCCAGGGATTTTATATAATGTCCTGGGTATTTTATTAATATAACTTCCGTTCAGATTGTAACATGTAATGAAATGTAAAATCAAATGACAAATGTTTTCTTTATTTTCCCGAGGTTCGAACTCGCAACCTCCATATCTGTAGCCCAGTGAGTGTACCACGAGGCTACAGAGGTGTTGATAAGCCTCACTGGTTTTTAGAATGTCCTTTTCAAGATCCGTACGCCATCAACAGATATTTTACGCTCGTTTCCTAAGGTTCATAGAAAGTATGTTCGAAACATAAAAATGTTGATAAATGTTGTTTTAAGTTTCTTTTTTCGGTTTATAAAGTATGGAAAAACACTTTCCCTCGGTTTTGGTAGACATGCTCTGTCTACCAATACCTCATGAGCGTGTTTTCTTCAATACATAGTAAACTGTATGTTGAGTATTTCTCCTTTACTCCATCACCCATACTGAGAGGCAGCTAATGCGGACGTACCCAGCTGGGATGAGAATAGACTCCTCCAACTTCAACCCTGTCATATTCTGGGCGTTCGGCATCCAGATGGTGGCACTAAACTACCAAACTGAAGGTGAGAAAGGGAGACAATCCAGTGACACCTAAAAATGAAAGAATTTTAGAAGCTCAACCGTTAACTCCGCAGCATTCATAGAGGTGATCAGTTGTGCATTTTTTTACGATGAGACTATTGACCAATGAAGGCCATGCTTTCAATTCAAAGCGTTAATATATCCATAACTCAATGATACAAGATCTTTGATTGGTTGATCAATCTTTGCGGGTATAGACAGGGAACTAATTGCATGTAGAAAGATATTACTTTGGAACTCGAACATGGTATTAATAACTTTATTCTTTTTTATATGAAATATCTGTTTCTTGCCCCACTGATTTCTGTAAAACTTCAATTAGGTTTGGCATCTCAGGTTGTCCTGGGCTCCATCCCATTCAAAAGTCTAGTGTAAAACTCACATCAGTTATGCCTCGAAGGATCACTTTTGGGGCAGAGAGGGCAGGGGGGTCAGGTTTTCTCTAAAGACATGTGAGTCTCTATCACCTAAACTTTGGGTATTACAGTTTCAAATACTTGCTACTAGGCTGGGACAGGTAACTCGGGTACTCTGGTCAGGTGGGTACTGAGTAGGACCCGGGTACCCACAGGAATACCCGGACCCATGGTTAGTCACGTGATATATTGTTTCATGACAAAAATTCACGATGTAACTACATGGTTACACGACAATTTTAAGTCTCTAATGTTCTCAATTCTTCATGACTTTGAACACGTTCCTTCTGACTTAAATATGTTTTAACAAAGCTAAAACTTCAGTCAACTTCAGTCAACTTCAGAGTATGCATGACCACATCGTTTTATACGTGTATCTAAATACATTTTGCCAGGGCTACTGTCAAACTATTCCCAATCAGACATTTTGTACCTATCTCTGGACACTAACAGTAGGTACTCGGGTAGGGTCAGGTAATAGGGGTGTGGGTACCCGGGTAGGGTCAGGTAATAGGGGTGTGGGTACCCGGGTAGGGTCAGGTAATAGGGGTGTGGGTACCCGGGTAGGGTCAGGTAATAGGGGTGTGGGTACCCGGGTAGGGTCAGGTAATAGGGGTGTGGGTACCCGGGTAGGGTCAGGTAATAGGGGTGTGGGTACCCGGGTAGGGTCAGGTAATAGGGGTGTGGGTACCCGGGTAGGGTCAGGTAATAGGGGTGTGGGTACCCGGGTAGGGTCAGGTAATAGGGGGTTGGGTACCCGGGTAGGGTTGGGTAATAGGGGTGTGGGTACCCGGGTAGGGTCAGGTAATAGGGGTGTGGGTACCCGGGTAGGGTCAGGTAATAGGGGTGTGGGTACCCGGGTAGGGTCAGGTAATAGGGGTGTGGGTACCCGGGTAGGGTCAGGTAATAGGGGTGTGGGTACCCGGGTAGGGTCAGGTAATAGGGGTGTGGGTACCCGGGTAGGGTTGGGTAATAGGGGTGTGGGTACCTGGGTAGGGTCAGGTAATAGGGGTGTGGGTACCCGGGTAGGGTCAGGTAATAGGGGTGTGGGTACCCGGGTAGGGTCAGGTAATAGGGGTGTGGGTACCCGGGTAGGGTCAGGTAATAGGGGTGTGGGTACCCGGGTAGGGTCAGGTAATAGGGGGTTGGGTACCCGGGTAGGGTTGGGTAATAGGGGTGTGGGTACCCGGGTAGGGTCAGGTAATAGGGGTGTGGGTACCCGGGTAGAGTTGGGTAATAGGGGTGTGGGTACCCGGGTAGGGTCAGGTAATAGGGGTGTGGGTACCCGGGTAGGGTCAGGTAATAGGGGTGTGAGTACCCGGGAAGTAAATTTGGACTCATCCCAAGCCTACGACCAGAGTGTGTTGGGAAAGACAAGGGGCATCCTTTATGAAAGCTTTGTTCTCTTCAGCCACTTGACAGTTTGGCAACAGGTTTATTTTATGAGTGCTTCTGTCACTTCAGATACGGCTATGGCTCTGAACACCGCCATGTTTGAGGCGAATGGACACAGTGGCTACATACTAAAGCCGCCAGTTATGTGGGCCAAGAATCACATGATGTACAACCGCTTCAATCCCTGGGACAAGGAATTTGATGGGCTCCATGCAACCATCCTCACGCTCCATGTAAGTTGGCATCACAAGAGACTCTTCTCTGCTTGAAGTTAATGGGTAGTTCCAAATGTAAATAATTAGGCTTCACCATTATATCATTGTGGCTATTTTATATATGCTGTTGTTTTGAGCACCATTGAATCTTTACCCAAACAAGTTTTGTGTGGGTAAACAAGTTTCTTACGTGAAACTTTAAATTTTTAAATTGAAGTGGTAAAATATGAAGCCAGATTGTTTTAGAAACAACATCTGGACCCGATTGCACAAAGTGATCTTAGCGCTAAGATGATCATAACTCCCATACCTTAGCATAGGCTTACAAAAGTCGTAGCTCTAAAATGCTTTGTGCAGGTGGACTCTGGTGTGCTCAAGAACCTAGACTTTCTTCATGTAGATATGGTGGCCAAATGTGGAGTTAATAGAGGTTTTTGGAATTTATAAAAGATGCTGGCCATGGTTGACCTATGTCTGTGTGTCTTCAGATCATCTCCGGGCAGTATGTGTGTCCTAACCACACCGCCAGCACGCAGGTGGAGGTGGAGATCATCGGCATCCCAGTCGACTGCGCCAAACAGAAGACAAAAGTCATTGCAAAAAATGCCCTAAACCCAATCTGGAATGATGTCTTCACCTTCCAGGTAAGATCCCCCCCAACTCTTGTTTCACATATGTTTTGAGCTATAGTAATAGTGCTGACAGATTATCTATAGTAATAGTGCTATGACAGATTAGCTATAGTTATAGTGCTATGACAGATTAACTATAGTAATAGTGCTATGACAGATTAACTATAGTTATAGTGCTATGACAGATTAACTATAGTAATAGTGCTATGACAGATTATCTATAGTAATACTGCTAAGACAGATTAACTATAGTTATAGTGCTATGACAGATTAACTATAGTTATAGTGCTATGACAGATTAACTATAGTAATAGTGCTATGACAGATTAACTATAGTTATAGTGCTATGACAGATTAACTATAGTAATAGTGCTATGACAGATTAACTATAGTAATAGTGCTATGACAGATTAACTATAGTAATAGTGCTATGACAGATCACTAAAGTAATAGAAAGTGAGTGAGTGAGTGAGTATGGTTTTACGCTGCTTTTAGCAATATTCCAGCAATATCGCAGCGGGGGACCCCAGAAATGGGCTTCACACATTGTACCCATGTCGGGAATCGAACCTGGGTCTTCGGCGTGACGAGCGAATGCTTTAACCACTAGGCTACCCAACCGCCCCCTATAGTAATAGTGCTATGACAGATTAAATATAGTAATAGTGCTATGACAGATTAACTATAGTAATAGTGCTATGACAGATTAACTACAGTAATAGTGCTATGACAGATTAACTATAGTAATAGTGCTATGACAGATTAACTATAGTAATAGTGCTATGACAGATTAGCTATAGTAAAAGTGCTATGACAGATTAACTACAGTAATAGTGCTATGACAGATTAACTATAGTAATAGTGCTATGACAGATTAACTATAGTAATAGTGTTATGACAGATTAACTATAGTAATAGTGCTATGACAGATTAACTATAGTAATAGTGCTATGACAGATTGACTATAGTAATAGTACTTTGACCGATTAACTATAGTAATAGTGTTATGACAGATTAACTATAGTAATAGTGCTATGACAGATTAACTAAAGTAATAGAAAGTGAGTTAGTGAGTGAGTATGGTTTTATGCTGCTTTTAGCAATATTCCAGCAATATCACGGCGGGGGACACCAGAAATGGGCTTCACACATTGTACCCATGTCGGGAATCAGACCCGGGTCTTCGGCGTGACGAGCGAATGCTTTAACCACTAGGCTACCCGATCGCCCCCTATAGTAATAGTGCTATGACAGATTAACTATAGTAATAGTGCTATGACAGATTAACTATAGGAATAGTGCTATGACAGATTAACTATAGTGATAGTGCTATGACAGATTAACTATAGTAATAGTGCTATGACAGATTAACTATAGTAATAGTGCTATGACAGATTAACTATAGTAATAGTACTTTGACAGATTAACTATAGTAATAGTGCCATGACAGATTAACTATAGTAATAGTGCTATGACAGATTAACTATAGTAATAGTGCTATGACAGATTAACTATAGTAATAGTGCTATGACAGATTAACTATAGTAATAGTGCTACGACAGATTAACTATAGTAATAGTACTTTGACAGATAAACTATAGTAATAGTGCTATGACAGATTAACTATAGTAATAGTGCTATGACAGATTAACTTTAGTAATAGTGCTATGACAGATTAACTATAGTAATAGTGCTATGACAGATTAACTATAGTAATAGTGCTATGACAGATTAACTATAGTAATAGTGCTACGACAGATTAACTATAGTAATAGTACTTTGACAGATCAACTATAGTAATAGTGCTATGACAGATTAACTATAGTAATAGTGCTATGACAGATTAACTATAGTTATAGTGCTATGACAGATTAACTATAGTAAGAGTGCTATTACAGATTAACTATAGTAATAGTGCTATGACAGATTAACTATAGTAATAGTGCTATGACAGGTTAACTATAGTAATAGTGCTACGACAGATTAACTATAGTAATAGTGCTATGACAGATTAACTATAGTAATAGTGCTTTGACAGGTTAACTATAGTAATAGTGCTATGACAGATTAACTATAGTAATAGTGCTATGACAGATTAACTATAGGAATAGTGTTATGACAGATTAACTATAGTAATAGTACTTTGACAGATCAACTATGGTAATAGTGCTATGACAGATTAACTATAGTAATAGTGCTATGACAGATTAACTATAGTAATAGTGCTATGACAGGTTAACTATAGTAATATGAAAAGATCAGGTGGTCCTTAACCTTTTTTGAGCAATCTCATTAAAATCAGATCTTAGTTCTCGCTACTGCTAAACAAAGATCTGAAGACATCTCATTAGGGGTCACGTCAGAACGACCTTTCATCTGATCAATCAGAGTGTCTCTTACCAGATTATGAAAGTGACAGTCAGATTGTGATTTCTAATCATCCAACCTCGAAAACTTTAACATGGGGTATTCCGAACAATAGTTACGGGTTTAACGACAGAATCCTTACAATCTAGACCATCTATTAGCCATTCCAGAATGTTTTTTTGTTCAGGTTTCAAATTTGTAATCAAAAATTTGTCAAAATATATTTTGAATTGTAGTCGCCAATTTGAAATAAGTGCCCTAAAGCATGAGAAAGCTACCTTCTGATTGGTCATTCCATTGGTCGGTCAAGATTCGCGCAAGGTTGTCTGACGTGACCCATAATGGGATGTCCTCAGATCTTTTTTGAGGGGTAGTGAGAACTAAGATCTGATTTTAATGAGATTGTTTTTTTATTAATTTAAATTCATGCTGCGACAGCCTTTGTTTACATTTTTGCTGTTGTCACAGGTGCTATTTGCTGACCTCGCCTTCATCCGCTTTGTGGTGACTGACACGAACACCAGCCATCTTGTCTCCCAGAAGATTGTGCCTCTGAGGTATCTAAGACCAGGTGGGCTAAACACTCTGATAATGACGTGATTTTTTAACCTCACACAACAATAGCAGTGACTAAATACAGTAAATCATGAAATTAGTGCGTCATCAAAATGTGTTGACAATATGAGTTTGTATGCTTGTTTATGTAGGAAGGCCCTCTCCCAGGTTGATGGTACACAACTGTTTTTTTTGTTAAGTACTGGTTTGTACAAGCAACAACAACAACAAAAACATTGCATGCCTGCACTGTATTTTCAAATGTCATTACCTGAGAACCAATTCTTTTATTTTTTTTAAGCCTAATATCACCCTTGCCTTTTTCACATAAATATCATGAATACATGACACTTTTTTATGGATAAAGACTTCTTTATTATTTGTGACAATGTTTCAGGGATACCTCATGCCATTTCATCAGTAAGTTTATTATTATTTTACAAGCCGTCGTCGTATAGCTGAAATATTGCTGATTGAAGCATTAAACAGCGAACAAACAAACAACAAAATTCTCTCAGGGAAGCTAAACAGAGGTGTTAGTGTGATGAGGTGTACGAAATAAGTGCCCCAAACCAAGTGTACCTCTTCCATAATCCATGTAACTCACACATTTGCAGGTTACCGTCATGTCCGACTCCGCAATCCGTCCAATCAGCCACTGGAACTGGCCACACTCTTTATCTACTCGAAACACGAGGAGGAACTCCTTGAGCCATGCAACAGTCTTGACATCAGTCACGCATCAGGCCCTGGGAGACGCATGTCACTCTTTGCCAAGGTCAAGGAACTGTCTGAGGTCGCACGAGCTGACCAGGTATGACATGATCCCATGATCACAATATTTATCAAATTTAATTGATCTGCAATGTATGAAACATCTGTTTTCTAAAATTGTCCTTAAGATAAATCTAATATTTACTGTATAGTATAAATTATTTATTTTTCTTCTTATTATTCTTAACATTTTTATTATTCTCTTGAAGGCGGCAAACCCTGTTGGCACCAGACTGAGGCGTCGTATGTTTTTCATCAGCGTGTTCGGAGTTACTGCCCCTGATGAGTATGTTATTCTCAAGGTCACCCAGGACACTACAGTTTACGATGCCATTACGCAGGTGAGTTTCCCATGGTGTTGGACAGTGTTGCTTAAGTGCGATGAGGTGAAATGGGGTTTGACATCACATTCAAGATTATTGCAAGAACGGAAAATCAGTGGTTCGATCCCTGTCCATGTTAAAAGATGGTACTTGTTATGTACACAAGTGTGTATGTGTTTCTGCTTGTACAAGTCCGGACATATGCCTGTTTTATAATGCTAGCACACTCAGATACCATTTCACAGTTTAACATGGAAACCTCACTCAAACACTGTATACTGACTCCGAGCCAACCAATCCACGTTTCATCCCCTAATAACAAGTGCTTGGCACAATAATAAGTACCATCTTTTAACATCTTTTGGTATGACATACCTATGTAGCTATGGGATAGAACCACCAGTTAATTAAGGTTCCGTTGGCTAGTTAGTTAAGATTGTCATGGTGTTAGTTAGGTTCATAACTTTAAGGTATAGTCAGTTAGTTACAACTGCCACGGTATCAGTCATTGAGCTATGATGAGTGTTATGGTGTTAAACTGTCAGTAAAGATTGCCACGCTGTTGGTGTTAGTTAAGATTCCAATGGAGTTAGGTAATTAGCTACTATTAGTGTTAGTCATTTAAGACTGGAACAGTGTCAGTTAATATTGCAACGGTGATGGTCAGTTAGTTTAGATGGCCACGGTGTTGGTGTTAGTTAAGATTGCAACAGTGTTAGTTAAGATTGCAACAATGTTAGTTAAGATTGCAACAGTGTAGGTTAAGATTACAACAGTGTTAGTTAAGATTGCAACAGTGTTAGTTAAGATTGCAACAGTGTTAGTTAAGAGTGCAACAGTGTTAGTTAAGATTGCAACAGTGTTAGTTAAGATTGCAACAGTGTTAGTTAAGATTGCAACGGTGTTAGTTAAGATTGCAACAGTGTTAGTTAAGATTGCAACGGTGATGGTCAGTTGGTTAAGACTGAACCCATGAAGGCTGGAACAGGTCTTCAGCAACCCATGCTTGTCCTAAGAGGCGACTTTGCTTGTCAAAAGAGACAACAAACAGGATCGGGCGGTCAGACTCATTAACTTGGTTGATGCATGTCATCATATCCTAATTGCGTGGATCGATGCTCATCATGTCAATCACTGTATTGTCTGGTCCAGACTTGATATTTTACAGACTGCTGTCATGTAGCTGGAATATTGTTGAGTGCGGTGTTAAATAACAAGCAGACAAACAAAAGTTAAGATTGCCACGGTATTGATCAGTTAGTTAAGATTGCCACAGAGTTGGTCAGTTAGTTAACATTGCCACATTGTTGTTCAGTTAGTTAACATTGCCACGGTGTTGGTCAGTTTGTTTAATTTGCGACGGTGTTGGTTATTTAGTTAGAATTGCTATGGTGTTGTTCAGTTAAGATTGCAACATTGTTGGTCAGTTAGTTAAGATTGTGATAGTGTTAGTGAGTTAGTTAGTTAAGATTGCAATGGTGTTGACTGTTAGTTAGGGTTCCAATGGTGTTGGTCAATTAGTTAAGATTGCCACTGTGTTGGTCTTTTTGATTAGATTGTTAGTTAGTTAGTTAGTTAGTTAGTTAGTTAGTTAGTTAGTTAGTTAGTTAGTTAGTTAGTTAGTCACTTAGTTAAGATTGCCATGGGTCATATTAAGTTTGTTAATGTTCCCACAGTATTGAGTTTATTAAGCTGACCAAGGTGTCGATCAATATTTTGTTTGGTTAAAAAGATATATATATATTGAAAAGGATATTTTTGTCAGCTAGCACATAGAAACTGAGACCCAAAGTTAAGGCACCATCTGCATTTGGTATGGCCAGTGATATCCAAATACCCCCACCTTTGAATACCTGGGCTCCACTCTTGCATTCTGTGGTACATTGTTGCCTTGATGTTGAGTCACTCTCACTCTGTTGCCAGTCTCTGATCAAAGTGGGTCGCCTGGAGGAGCGGGTGGGAGACTTTGTGTTGGTGGAGGATGTGCAGAGCGGCTGGGAGAAGCGGGACCAGGAGAAGGCCAGCTGCCAGAGAATCCTGGACATGACCGAGAAGGTTCTTCAGGCACAGAACAAGTGGAAGGGAGCTGGACGCTTCATCCTCCGCAGACTCAGTGATGTAAGTTACTTCTAGTAAGATACATCAGGGCATGTCATCCTCTGGAGACTCAGTGGTGTTAGTACAATCTCTGTGTCTGGTCCTGACTCATTGTTTCATCTGTCTGTGCAATCTGTGTGTCTGTCAGTACTATCTCTGTGTCTGTCTGTACAATCTCTGTGTCTGTCTGTACAATCTCCATGTCTGTCAGTACAATCTCCATGTCTGTCTGTACAATCTCTGTGTCTGTCAGTACAATCTCCATGTCTGTCTGTACAATCTCTGTGTCTGTCAATACAATCTCCGTGTCTGTCAGTACAATCTCCATGTCTGTTACAGGACCCCAGCAGCAGGGCGTGGGTGACCACATTGTTAAAAGACCAGAAGGTGGGTACATTTTTGTCAAAATAATTCTATTATATATATGTTACTATTGTCAAGCAGAACATTATAATACTATAGATTCCCGGTGGACAAACATTTCGCATCCTAAATTATACAGGTTCCTGTTCCACAAAGGGACCACAGCGCTATAGCACTGCCTAAAGTCTACATCAAAGAGTGCTACAATAGCTTTGTGGAATGGGGCCATGGCCTTATATATCTGTTCTATTGTGGTAAATGCACTGGATCCATTCATAAAAATAGCATTGTTTTGAGTATCAAAGAAGAGCACAATGCTAAAAAGAACCATCACTGAAATTCTGAGTTAGAGGTAGGAGCAATTGAAGTGGTGACATCTCTTTTGAAATGAGAATATAGTGAATGTGTACAGGGATTTTATCAAACTAGAATGGGGAGAATACCCTGGAAAATTAAGAATGAGGTCAAACTTGTCATATGAGATGATGGGGAATCGGTGGGCCCCGGTCGCCAAACTTTATCACAACCATAATGGGTAGGTAGGGACAGGGGCATATTAAAATGACACAGTTCCATTCACGTCAAATGAAGAAATGATAAAGCTGAACACTAGTTGTGAACTGGTCATTTATTATGAGGCTGGATCATGAAAAACTGTAATATGTATTTTTGGGTTTGGTGCCATGAAGAAAAATGTACAAAAAAAGAAATGGGGGGTGCAAAATATGTCATTGTTTTAATACGCCACACTCTATAATATATGACAAGTCCCTACCAAGAGTCGCAGGAGTATATACACCTGCTTCAATCACAGTACACACTTGGTGTATTCTCTCCACAGCGTAAACACGACCTAGAGTCTGACACGAATGACTGGGACAGTCTGGAGCACATGTTTGTGGTGTGTGTCTACAATGTGTCCCCAGAACAACCATATACAGTCTTCAAGGCCCCGGTGACCAGCACAGCCCAGGACATCATTACACAGGTAGGTGGAGCTATCTTAGAATGTATCCTCATCTATATACCTGGGTGGATTCTGGGTCACATCATGAAAGTAGTGATGGACACTACCCCGGATACACACCCTTAGTATACCTGGGTGGATTCTGGGTCACATCATGAAAGTAGTGATGGACACTACCCCGGATACACACCCTTAGTATACCTGGGTTGATTCTGGGTCACATCATGAAAGAAGTGATGGACACTACCCCGGATACACACCCTTAGTATATCTGGGTTGATTCTGGGTCACATCATGAAGGTAGTGATGGACACTACCCCGGATACACACCCTTAGTATACCTGGGTGGATTCTGGGTCACATCATGAAAGTAGTGATGGACACTACCCCGGATACACACCCTTAGTATACCTGGGTTGATTCTGGGTCACATCATGAAAGAAGTGATGGACACTACCCCGGATACACACCCTTAGTATATCTGGGTGGATTCTGGGTCACATCATGAAAGAAGTGATGGACACTGCCCCAGATACACACCCTTAGTATACCTGGGTGGATTCTGGGTCACATCATGAAGGTAGTGATGGACACTACCCCGGATACACACCCTTAGTATACCTGGGTGGATTCTGGGTCACATCATGAAAGTAGTGATGGACACTACCCCGGATACACACCCTTAGTATACCTGGGTTGATTCTGGGTCACATCATGAAAGAAGTGATGGACACTACCCCGGATACACACCCTTAGTATATCTGGGTGGATTCTGGGTCACATCATGAAAGAAGTGATGGACACTGCCCCAGATACACACCCTTAGTATATCTGGGTTGATTCTGGGTCACATCATGAAAGAAGTGATGGACACTACCCCGGATACACACCCTTAGTATATCTGGGTGGATTCTGGGTCACATCATGAAAGAAGTGATGGACACTGCCCCAGATACACACCCTTAGTATATCTGGGTGGATTCTGGGTCACATCATGAAAGTAGTGATGGACACTACCCCGGATACACACCCTTAGTATACACGGGTGGATTCTGGGTCACATCATGAAGGTAGTGATGGACACTACCCCGGATGAACCCCCTTCAATATACCCGGATGGATTCTGGGTCACAACACTACAGAGGGATCTACCCCTTCAGTACATGGCAGTGCATTCTGTTCATGTAACAGAATCTATCAGGGATGCTTTTACTAACAGACTTGCACTCAAGTTGCAGCCAAGATCTCCAGCCAAGTAGCCCATGCTGAGATAGACTAATTCATGGTGTGAAGCCCATTCCTGGTGTCCCCCGCCGTAATATTGCTGGAATATTGCTAAAAGCAGCGTAAAACCATATTCACTCACTCACTCACTCACTAATTCATGATATTGACAGAAAATTTAGTCCAGACTTAAACAGTCTGGCCAAATTTCGTAGGATTATTTGAGAAAGCTAGAAATATTTTACCAACCTTGCCAAAAAGTGACCTTAAACTGCTCTGGTATTCTGAAGTAATGCTGCTCCAATCTTGTATGTGTCTTAGATGCAACAGCTTAGCCTTGAAAAGACCTTAACTTTGATTCTGCCTTGCAGAAGCATTTATATTTGACAAAGAAGACCCTAAAATGACCTTGAACTTAGCAACCATGATCACCTCAACTCTTGAATAAATATGTTTCAGTTGTTTTAAATTGATTAATACAAGATGACATCATGTAGAAAAAGAATAGTCAGTAACTCAGTTGATAAATATTATTGAAGCAATGGTGTGGACTTGAAAATTCTGATATTATATCTGGTTGCACAAATGGATCCATTTTTAAAATATGGTAACAGTTCATCTGTGTACACACCGTATTCCACGTAATAAGCGCCCTGCTCTAATAAGCGCCCACGGCGATATTTGCTTACATATTGGCTAGTGAACAATCCCAATTAGCACCCCTTCCGATTGATCAATGTACACAAAACTTATTTATTCGCGTATAATACGCACTCGTGTCTTACATGCACCCTTAATTATGGGCAATTAAATTCTGGAAAAATATATCTGTCGTATATAAACATTTCAGGCTGTCAGCATAAACCACGAAATTTATCCTTTAACTCTGTTTTTTTCACCAAAATAATATTCTAATAAGAGCCCCCTATTTCTAATTTTGAGAGCGCCCTGGGCGCTTATTACGTCGAATACGGTACCTGTATCTTCTCACAGAGTTTTAAGATTTGAAAATCATTGATGTTATGGGCTGTTCAAAGCTGAATACTTTTTTTGGGTTGTAGTAATAAGTTTGTTTGTTGTTTGACGCCACACTTAGCAACATTCCAGCTATTTGACGACGGCTTGTAAATAACAATATAATTACTGATGAAATTACTGATGATAATAATGAAGTCTAGACCAGACAATCCAGTGATTGACATCACGTGCATCGAGCTACGCAATTTGGGTGCGATGACATGCATCCACCAAGTCAGTGAGCCTGACTACCCAATCCCGTTAGTCGCCTCCTACGACAGGCATATTCGCCTCTTACGACAAGCATAGTCACCTTTTACAGCAAGCATGGGTTGCTGAAGACCTATTCTCTACCCTGATCTTCACGGATCTGTAGTGATAAGTGAAAAGAGACATATTGTATTTATTTGCCAACATGTAGCTGACACAGAATGCTTTGTCCTATCAGGCTATGATGAAGTCCCGACGAGCCAACACAGATGACCCCCGCAACTTCGTTCTGGTGGAAGAACTAGAGATTCAAAGTGCCAATGAGAGCCAATCAGGGACAAGCAGGCGGAAAGGCAGCGAGCGTTGTGAAAGTCGTGTCCTGGCAGATGATGAGAATGTTCATCAGGTCCAGACGGAGTGGAAGACGAATGGACGGTTCATGTTGGTGTCGCGGGAAAAGGCAGGGGCAGAGGAACTGGCGGTGAGATACAACTGTTATAACATGTGGAATATGGTTTGCTTATTTCATGTCTTTGAATGTATTTTGCACTGACATTTCATGGAAGTGGCTTTAAAGAGAGTGTAAGAAACTTTGTCCCCTTACGTTGAAGGTTTTGTTAAAGCACATGTCAGGATTCACTCTTAAGCACATGTCAGAATTCACTCTAAATCACATGTCAGAATTCACTCTTAAGCACATGTCAGAATTCACTCTAAAGCACATGTCAGTATTCACTCTAAAGCACATGCCAGGATTCACTCTTAAGCACATGTCAGAATTCACTCTAAAGCACATGTCAGAATTCACTCTAAAGCACATGCCAGAATTCACTCTAAAGCACATGTCAGTATTCACTCTAAAGCACATTTCAGGATTCACTCTTAAGCACATGCCAGGATTCACTCTAAAGCACATGTCAGAATTCACTCTAGAGCACATGTCAGAATTCACTCCAAAGCACATGTCTGAATTCACTCTAAAGCACATGTCAGAATTCACTCATGAGCACATGTCAGAATTCTTTCTAAAGCACGTGTCAGAATTCACTCTACAAAGCAGAATGTCTATCATAGATAAAAACCACAAAGAACACGTTCCTAAGTAAAAAATCTGTATAAGGAGCTCCGCAACACTATAAGATTACACTTAGGTGTTAGCCCAATACCCTATCACCTATTTCACTTTTTCAACACAAGCCAACCCACTCTGTTATCGGCCAATGAGGAAACAGTAGCTTGATTTTTAGATTTATAGATATATAAATGCAAAAAAAATTGCTTGTGAATTGCCATGAAATTACTTACAATTAATGTATTAATTGATTGGCACAAGAAGCTACAACTTTGCTTCGTTTAGCAGTATTCACTCACTCATTTATAAATTGATATAATGTTTACAGGAGAAGAGGCGTAGTCTCCCACTGCCCGTCAAGGTTCTGCCAAAGGCTTCTTGTGGGTCACTTGCCAAGAGGATTGGATCCAAGAAGATTGTGAAGCAACACTTGATAGGAGAAAGGATCGCCCAGCTCCCTCAAACACCAGGTGTGTGTTCAGTAATACAAACATTCTTTGGTGCACTTGATACCATTGACACAAGTGTGTGTGGGGGGGGGGGGGGGGGGGGGGGGCAAGGGTGGCCCAGTCGTTTAAGGCGCATCGATTTGCTGTGCAGAGTTGCGTCCCTTGGGCAAGCCAGAAACCTACGATTGTGGGTTTGAATCCTGGTTCACCCCGATTATGTTTCTAGGTTTGTCAGCACCATACCCCTGTTCATGGGTTTCACCGACGTGGTAAACATCTGAGACTCGCATCACTTCAGGCTTTCCTCCCACATGAAGCTGACACGCCGTGATATAACTGTAATACTGTTAAGAGCGGCGTTAAACCCCACTCACTCACTCATTAACACAGGGACCCTGTCATCCTGCATGCCACAATTTGCTGAGCAGAGTAGTGTCCCCTAAACCTTGCAACGATCCAGTGATCATGGGTTTGAATCCCAGATTCTTTGTTTGTCGGAACCATACCTGAGTTGGTTGGTTTCTAGTAGAGAATAGGTCTGCAGGATCCCTTGCCTGTCCTATGAGCCAACTAAACAGGTTTGGATTGTCAGGAGTGGTGGCTGATTGTTTGCCGATTTGTTATATGGATGCAATGTGTGAAGCCAATTTCTGGTCTCCCCCACCGTGATATTACTGAAATATTGCTAAAGGTTATGTAAAATCACACTTGCTCACTCACTCACTCACTCACTCACTCACTCACTCACTCACTCACTCACTCACTCACTCACTCACTCACTCAGATGCCAATATACATGTTGGAAAATAGCTGATTGTGGTGTAATACAAAAGTCACCATCCTATCATCTTATGTTCCTGTAATCCTTATTTACTTTGACTTCTGTCTTACAGACCAGATACGGAAATCCATCAGTTTCCCATCTCAGGTGAACAACACTAACCTGGTTGCCACGGCAACAGCCTCTTCGCTGACACACACACAAAACGACAAACCCGGCATGTTCAAGATAAAGAAGCTGTCTCGTCTCAACTTCAAACTTGGGAAATGAAGACTTGAAATAACAGAGACTATGTTTCAACATTCCATTTACCAAGGCAGACAACTCTGTCACTTTTCTGATTCTGCGTTCAGATTCAGAAAAAAACAATTTTGATCCAAAGGTCAAGGTCGAGTGGTGAGGATGAAAAGAATGCTGACAATGTACTTTGAAGTCAAGGCCTGGGTAGCTAATGGCGGCATTCTGCTTGTTTACCCAGAACTGCATGGCAACGGTCAGCCATGATTGGACCAAATGGACAGTATTTCACAAGGATTGGACATTTCAGTGCTATTCTGTTGGGTTGTGCAATGTTAACAAGGTATTGGATTTGTGATATTCCTGGCAATCCTCAACATTGGAAACCTGAATCGATTGCCCCATATGTGAATGACAACAAGAACAGACATGGCTTGAGATGATCATGGATCGTGTTTTTGTAGCCTTTATTCCTACTTCCAGTCTTTCTGTAATAACAGATGAAAACATGGGCAATATCCCTTGAACTGACAAATGACACTGCCATCTGATTGGATAATGGTGATGTATAAAAGGCATTGATTGGATGCAAGATTTGATTGGACCAGTACAGGATTTCTTATTGGTTGAAACCAACAGGGCAATACCCTCCGATTGGATGAGAGAATTATGCTGTGATGACCATTGTCTCAATCAAAACACCATATGGTCTATATTTATCATTGCACATTTGTGAGAGAAATTAAAAATATTATAGTGATTTTGCAATTTTCCATGCTGTGGCAATATCTCAATCTTTGTACTTTTCTTATTCTTGGAGACCTGTTGCCACACTGTTGTTTCTGTTGATGGCAAGTGTAGCAGTGTGTCCAGCACGTACAGTCTTCAGGAAAATGTTATTGTATTGAGAAAATGTTCTTTGACATGATTCATTATTTATTTTGTAACTTATTGTGATTGATATCATTACTTTTGTATGTGGACAAACCATAACATTTTGAATAACCTGAAGTCACACAATTACACCACAAGGAGGTCCAGGAAACAGCGTGGGTAGTCAATTTCTGTCGATTCAGCAAGTCAGTGTTGTTAAGTCACCATGAGACTGCATTTTGACATTTTCATTTTGATGGACTGACATATGTAGGATTGTCTATATGAAACAGGTACACAGGATATATACTTAATAGTGCCCTGGGTGCTGAGAAGTTGAAACATTAAGACACAATGGTGTTAAACACATATAACATCCAGACACTGGGTGCTTAGTGCATTTCACATCCAGACACCAGGTGTTAAGTGCATGTCACATCTGAAGACCAGGTGTTCTGTGCATGTCACATCCAGACACCAGGTGTTAAGTGCATGTCACACCCAGACACCAGGTGTTAAGTACTTGTCACATCTGAAGACCAGGTGTTCTGTGCATGTCACATCCAAACACCAGGTGTTCTGAGCATGTCTTATCGAGACACAAGGTGCTCTATGAATGTCACACCCAGACATCAGGTGCTTAGTGCATGTCACGACCAGACACCGGGTGTTGAGGGCATGTCTCATCCAGACACCAGGTGTTAAGTACATGTCACATCTGAAGACCAGGTGTTCTGTGCATGTCACATCCAGACACAAGGTGTTCTATGAATGTCACATGCAGATACCAGGTGTTAAGTGCATGTCACATCAGGTGTTGGGGCATGTCACATCAAGACACCAGGCACTGAGTACAAGTCACATCGCACAATAAATGCCTTACAGTGCAAAATGCATTACAATAATCATCTTAGTTTTCTGTATGAGAGGAAAAAAAGTTTATTCAATTGTTTGAGAGAACAGGCTGTCATGTTTTAAAAACAGAACCGTCTTGTATCAAGTTATCTTAAAATTCACAAGTACATTGACATTTTCTCAAGGAAAGATAAAACCTGTAGCAAAAGGATATAATGTTTTCCTCAAAATTAAAAGGAGATGGACGTTCTCCTGCCTTTAGGTATTTCTACAGAAGATCTGTACAAGTAATTTATCAGACCTCCCCACAGACAGGTTGTTATGTTGGTCAAGGATGTTACTAAATGAGTTGTTACATGTCTTGTGGAGCACCATTAGAGGCAGTAGGGTGTGAACTGTTTTGAATACATGAATATTATATGATGGAATGATTTGACTTGTCTTTCTGCTCTGGCCTGAACTGATGAAGAGTATGATGGAGCCTGATGACGTGTGTGATGGAGACAGGTGCTTGCTGCTGTAGGCTGAGTTCAACTACTGGAAACAAACATACCTGGGAATCTCCTATCAAAGTCAATTGGTTTTGGGGCCCTTATTTTAAATCAGTTTTAGCTCATCTGGACCTAATGGGTCTCATTTTCAGTATTGAAACAGATGTCTGGTCATTGTAGTCAGTGTTTATTATACAAATGATTTGAATGAGAGAAGCTTTAACATCGACATGACAGTATTTCAGCCTTATCATGCTGGCAAGTTTTTGTGTATTGGAGAAAACACGCTTACGAGGTTTGGTAGACAGAGCATGCCCTGGGGAGAGGGAAAAACCAAGGGGACAAAGTCCCTGTGGTTTTTCCCGACCCCCAGGGCATGTTCTGTCTACCAAAAAGTGTTTTTCCATACTTATAAACTGAAAAAAGAAACTTAAAACAACATTTATCAACATTTTAATGTTTCGAACATAATTTCTTTGGACCTTAGAAAACGAGCGTAAAATATCTGTTGCTTGCGTACGGATCTTGAAAAGGACATTCTAAAAACCAGTGAGGCTTATAAACACCTCTGTAGCCTCGTGGTACACTCACTGGGCTACAGATATGAAAGTTGCGAGTTTGATCCTCGGGAATATAAAGAAAACATTTGTCATTTGATTTTACATTTCATTACATGTTACAATCTGAACGGAAGTTATATTAATAAAATACCCAGGACATTATATAAAATCCCTGGGATATTATAACAAATATGACTTGAATATCCTATAAAATCCCTGGGATATTATATAAAATCCCAGGGACATTACAACGTCCCTGTTTATGAGATTTAACCCGACTGGAAAGTAAAACCTCTCAATAGGTTTTAATGCCTATAGAAAGAAGTCTCTTACTTAATAGCGATCCCAATGAATAGGTTTATAAGTGGGAGGACACCAGGTGTTGAATGCATGGTCCACTGACACCAGGTGGTGGGTGTCTTTACCACACAGACACCAGGTGGTTGAATGCACACACCAATACACCTGGTGTTGAGTGTGAGTGCACAGACATCAGGTGTTGAATGCATGTACCACTGACACCGGGTGTCAAGTACATCTACCACGAGACACCAAGCATTAATGGTGACCCTCGCAATGATATGGCTGGAATATTGCTAAAAGTGACGTAAGACCCTTAGACTCACTCATCTACTCATGTAAGCCCTGGGTTGGAGTTTCCAAGGCTTCAATACGAGGTTAACAGTTCAAGATCAACTAGACCTTGAGTAGTATAGGCACGGGTGATTCGGGATCAATACGATAAATGTATGTCATGATGCGGAACTGCTTAGCAAAATGTAGCAACTGCTTAGCAAATCTGCTATGCAGATGCTACAGTTTGCTAAGCAGTTGCTACATAATTTTTGTAAAGAGAAGCGTCTTTCCAAATCATGATATACATTTATGCGTATTGGTCCCGTACCCCCAGTGGCCATACTACTCCTTGCAATCAATTACAAACGGTTCCTGTTTTCAAGGACAATGTCTTTTTGTTTTTAACAATGTTTGTCACTTTACGTGTGTTGTTAAACATTTTTCTGTACAGATGTACAGCTCCACCAAGAAGTGAAAGCCTTATGGACGTCACAATGGAAAACCTTGTAGCGGTATCCTCCCTTGTTTCAGGAATTAGCTGCCAAATATGACCATTCTCAATCATAATATTTAAGTGATATTCCCAACCATACAACATCTATTACAGCTTTTGAGTATAGATTTTATTTTTTCCCCCAAGTTTTCTCTCTCTTATTCTGATTGACCCCTTTTTGCTGCTTTTTTTCAAGTCATTGTCATCTTGTCAGTGTGATATTTATTTAGATAAAGAGGGAAAAGTTCCGGGGCCATCATTGCATGTCTCGCTGTAATTATGAAGTTGAAAATTGCACACTCCAGTGTAAACAAGTGTTGACTTGTGTTTTCAGTGGCATATTATTTCTTTATTATTATGTACTGTAGCACTGTTGGTGAATGTATGGTCCAGGAATGCCCCATAAAAAGGCACTACAGTTTAAGGATAGTCAGTTTTTTTGTTGGTGACAGTTTTATTCTGTCAAAGTCAGAAGTTGGCAGAGGTAAAAAAAATGACATCAGCCTCAATCAAGGGACCGGTCATTTATTATAGGGGTCGTTGGGTTAGAGCAAATCAGTAGGGACAGCACAAAATATGACAGTCTATAGAGGAGGGTCATAAAAAGAATACCCATATTTGGGGAGGGTCATGAAAAAATGCCCATTTTCTAATATAATATAAAATGCTTTTGCATTTTGTCTTTTCAGGGAGGTTCATAAAAAGATGTACAAGGACATGGGGAGGGTCATCAAGAAATATGACAAGCATTAGGGGAGGGTCATTATGTTCAGTACATTAAGCCATAAAAAACTTCTGAACATATATATGTGTAAATTTGGATACAAATGAGGTCAGTGGATCAGTGATCAAATAACAAAATACTAACCTTAAAGGACATTGTGTCTTTGTAATTAGGTACTGGTAATCATTATCCAATAGATTATACATCATTACATTTGAGTAATTAAACAAATAAAGTTTGTTTTTATTAAATTGAATCAAACTTGCTCAATCTCATTAGAATTGATCTTTCACTCTGAAACAACCTCTCTGCGTGGAGACCTGAGGTCATCTCCATGGTAACTCCCAGTCTAAATGAATGTGTGGGCTCTTGGGCCAATCAGATGTTTGCATTTTAAAACAATTTGCTTTCATTTCTTTTGAAAATTCAGAAATTTTGGTCTTTTCAAAAGAAAACTGCCAGTCTATAAACATAGCCCTGGTGTAGATGCCATGGTGCTTACAAACGACAGGCTGTATAAAATATCTTCAGCAGTATACCAGCATAGCTTTTTTTGTTTGCATTCTGAAATCTACAGTTACATTTGTATTAGAGTTAGAGAAATCCGATATTGTCTGATTTCTTTGCTCACTCGTACCTAGAATTTAGAAGCCTTTATGTCCTTGTCTGATAAGAAGTTAACCTAACATGACCTATGGATGTGTCTTCAGATCTTCACGCAGAGAGAAGACCCGATGTTAATGAGATAGCAAACTTGGTACAACTGCTTATTATCCTGAGAGTAGTGCCCCTTTAATAGTCCAAGAATATGAGGTTGCAAATGGCAGTTGATTTCTTTGGTCAGGGTGTGCGTACAGTACAAGAAGTCCTCACTGTGATAATTGTTAACTTTACCGGTACTTTGTTTTCATATTTTCCAGTTCACATATTCCAGTTGGATCCGAGAAATCGTTCATGCCAAAATACTTAATGCCTTTGTAAGCCAATATATGTTGAGGATCCTTCTATGGCTTTTAGTGATGGCTGAGTAGACTTAGTTGTATATAAGATATGTGTTACTGAAGCCAGTGAATGTTGCTATCCAATTATATACTGAGAGCCAATAAGATATTACTTTGTCTGTCACATAGTATTATTACTCTTACATATATTTAGAAATATCAGGGAATTCATATTTTGACACATTTTGCAAAAAAAAGTCACATCAATGTAATTATGATTTATTCTTAGAAACCTCATAATGGCCAGACCAGTATTTTTTCTTCTTTCACAGTCTTTTATGGCTATATTCCACAATTCAAGAGGCAAAATATTTTTAAGAAATTGATTTTTTTTCCTTTCTGATGAAATAAGATATTACAATATGCATATAAACAATGTTCAAATTAAGCACAAATAGTTTTCTACATTGCTTTATATATTTTTTTTTAAATTCCTTTTTGTTCATGCAGTTAGGTAAGGCTCATCGATAATCAAGACTGAATAGTGATCTTGCCTTGGCTATTTTCTCTATTTGTGTGAGGCTGTATGATGGCTGTCAGAGTCTATCGGTCATTCTGTGCAGGTCACTCATGTACTATTTCACTGTTATTGTTTTTCAAATTGTTGTGTTTGCAAGAAAATATTTATGCAAATATTTGGTCACACGCAGACGTTTGTGCATTCCAGGCATACCGCAGATAATACAGACATTATTTGTGGTGTGTCATATATCTATGGGATCATGTAAAAGAAAACATTTAAAATTGGGATGTTATGCAATACTTGGCTGATTCGTTTGCTTCATGTCACAGTGGATGAGTATTTCTTCCCTGTGGTCTTCATATGTTGCCCATTTTTATACAAAATAAATAAAAACCACAGAATAAGATAGCGTCCTTGAACTTATTTTATAAATGGTGTGATCAAAATGTTTTGATGTTGCCAAAATTTCTTCACTCCACGAAGCACAAAGTGTGAGAGTTTTAAGAATGCCTTTCTAAAATGTGAAAGAAAGTTTCCTCCATGTTTGTCAGCCATCTCTTGCCTAAGTGGTTCCAATTTCAGTCCGAAATGGGTACAATTCATCTTTAACTCTTGGATGCAATTTGGGTGGAGGTAGTTGACAGGGAAATATTCTTGGACACAGGACAGTCATGGTAGTAATATTGGACAAGCAGTGAATATTTGGTGGTAGTTCAGCAGTGAATATTTGTTGGTAGTTCAGCAGTGAATATTTGGTGGTAGTTCAGCCATCATGGATTTTATGTTGATGGGAAACATAAGGGAACACAAAGAAAAGCTTCAGATTATAGAATGTTTTTCTTCATCTAGTACAGATGCTCTCAGCATAGCGTCTCATGCAGTGAATTGTTTATATGTGATATATACTACTCAAAAGAAGTTAAAGAACACCCGATTCTTTCCTATTATTATAGTTATATGTCATGCCATGACAAACTATGGTAATAGGAAAGAATCAGAGTGAGTGAATCAGACTGAGTTGGGGTTAACACCGCTTTTAACAGTATTCCAGTTATATCGCGGCGTGTCAGTTTAATGTGGGAGGAAAGCCTGAAGTGATGCAGGTCTCAGACGTT